AAAAAGATTAAAGGCAACTTACTCTATGAGAATTATGTAGTGATTTACTTATGTACAAGATGGGTTCTGCTGTCATTATCATGCACATTGATGGTCCGCAGTGAGTGATGGTTCCTCTGACTCTCTCCTGCTTTCAATTATGAAACAGTATGATGGTCCCCATCCACCTGGGATGCAAATATGCCCCCACCCATAGCATCACTGGTAATTCATTAGATACATCAGAAGGCACATTTAGTGTACGTGTCTGGTATTATTACAAAGGTGTGGTAGACAGCTCCAAGAGAAACTCACTCCTGACTTGGGTGTCCGAATAGGTGGGTAAGTGACTTACACAAAAGTTGCACTTGATAATCCCACATCCTGTCTCTAAACATAAGACAAAAATAGAACAATTAACACCTACAGTTCACATCACCTCCATGTTTCCACCTATTTTCTTAAAATCTAAATTGCAGTTTAACTATGAGATACAGAAATAAGTCACTGCTCGTTTTCAGTTTTGGCCTCTTGGGAGTTGGTTCCAAGGGGTACTGTGTGTTCTAGCTGTCCACCTGCTCAGATAGCACCATATAATTTAAGTTTTTATTTTGGTTAGTATCCCATTTCTGGAACCAATTTCTGTGTCTGTCAGGCAAAGTTGCCAAAAATCTCATTGGATTAGCACTTGAATGTATGTCTTTCCCATGAAAAATTTATGGCTGACTGGGTGACGCTCCAGGAAAGCTTTGTTCCTTGCAGAGACCCAGGGATCAAGAATGATAAGATCTCATGGCTCTGTCATCTTTTTTTCTTTCTTTTTTTTTTGTGTGTGTGACACAGTCATACTTCTTCACCCTGCGTACAGTGTCGTGGCATCATCTCAGCTCACAGCAACCTCAAACTCTTGGGCTCAAGTGATCCTCTTGTGTCACCTTCCTGAGTAGCTGGGACTACAGTTGCTCACCACAGTGCTGGGCTAGATTTTTCTATTTTTACTTAGAGATGGGGTCTCACTCTTGCTCAGGGCAGTCTTGAACTGAACTCAAGTGATCCACCTGCTGGGCCTCCCAGACTGCTAGGACAACAGGCATGAGCCACTACTGCACCTCCCATGTAGAACAACTCCATACCGTCCACTGGACATGGGCTAAGTCAGATGTAGTGTCCCTTGGTGCCCAGCAAGAAGAAAATGGAACACATCTTGGTGAACACACAGCACCATCTACCACAAGCAGTGGTTTTTCAAATTTGTTTTACAGCTGAGGAATGTTTCAGATGAGATTTCATTAGAAGCAAAGTATGTCAGAGGAATAAAAGTTGTAGTGCTTGGGTTAATCTGGGACAGAGAACTGCATTTGGAAACTGCTGACATTTAATAAAGCCCTGTGGAAGGATAATGAACAGCCAGAGAGAAAGGGCAGAGTCAGTAACAAAAGAATAAAAGAAGTGTGAACAAACACCTCCTTAGTCCAGGCTGTAGGTAAATTAATATTTAACAGACATTTCTAAGTACAAAAGGCAGGCAAATGATGAGAAAAGTCAATACGAGCCTTGGAATTTAAAAACAAAAAGAGTGGCTATGGGAGTGGAAATTATGAGTGGAGGTGGAAGACATTTGCATGATTTTATAGAGAAGTGTAAACTTAAAGGATCTCATTTGTTATAAAATTATGATCGTGCAACATGTAACAACATTTCGGTTCACAACCAGACCACATATACGATGGTTGTCCAGTAAGATCCTAATGGAGCTGCCGTACACAGATCCACCATTCTTCATCTTTTATACCATATTTTTACTGTTTCTTTTCTATGTTTGCACAAGCTTACATACACAAATACCCGCCTTACAGTTGCCTACAATACTGAGCCTAGGAGTGATGGGCTGTAGCACATGGCCTGGTTGTGTAATGCGTGTGCCATCTAGGGCTGTGTAAATATACTCTAGGATGTTTGCAGAGCACCACAGTCTCCAACTGAGACACTTCGCAGAACAAATCCCTATTGTTAGGCCACACAGAGCTGTATGTACAGGTTTGATGGGAAGTGTATTGTCCATCAAGATTTCAGTATTTTCATCAGAGAAAAATAGAGTATATTACAGAAAACAATGTAAATAGTTTGATTGCATAAGGGAAAAAGTATTGAAATTGATTTCCCATGGAAGCTTTAGGAAGTGTATGTTTAGGGCAGTACAAACTATTAGTGTAAAAATAGAGAATGTCTTACCCGGGATGGATAATAACCACAACAAGTCCCATCAGTACTTGTAGTACTCACTACTCGTCACACTATTGAAATCCACACGGTCCTGGCTGTTTGTCATGATTTTCACAGGTCTGAGTTTACAACACCTACAGGGAAAGGGATATGGGTGTTTCTGGGGCATGCTTCCTACAGTCCAGTAGCTGTCCTGGCTAATTGTGTGTAAGTCTGACTAACTTTCCTGGCTAACTTTTGGGGAAGCCTGGCTAACTTTGGGGGAAGGCTGGCTAACTTTGAGGAAGTCTGGCTAACTTTTGGGGAAGCCTGGCCCCATAATGCCCTGCCTGTGCTGAAAGACCACTTTTCCAAGGTACCAAATGGGTACCAAGGACCCATTGGGTCCTGCGGGCAGCAAAATGGCATGGTGAAAGGGCGTGATGCAATTCCTAGGAGAAGGAGGAAGACTGTCCAGCTGTCAGTCACACCCTCAACATTTATTTCAGTTATTATTTGCACAGGGATGTTGCCCATTTATCCGAGCCTAAGGTCAGCCCCTACAGGCTGAGGAGAGACCGGCCACCCTCCTCCTGGGTGTGGCACCTGCTTCAGAACTATCCCTTGCACGTGGCCTTTGCTAGCCTAATACATAGTGGGACATCACACAGGACCATTATGACTTCCTGCAGGTAAACAGCAAAGGGAAGAGGGGAAAGTCCTTGACTGTGGGGCGGAAGAGCGATTCCACAGACTTTGCATAGTGAAGTCCTGCAGTACAATAACAGCAGACACAGCCAAGGTCACTTCTGTAGTTCTCATGGAGACACACGGCCAATGTCACTTCTGTAGTTTTCATGGAGACACATGGCCAAGGTCACTTCTACAGTTCTCATGGAGACATACCAAACCACAGCGAACCCCACGGGTTCTAGACTGGGTGGTCCATGAGCCGTGCCAAGAGGCACCGGATTATAGATGGGTTTTGGCTCCTGCGAGCAATCACCTCAGTTATTTGTCACCTAGATTTTTTTAGAAGGTGACCAACAGGTAATGTAACATAGAAGTTTTAGTTCTGGACTTTATAACACATATGTTATATCATCATCAGGTAAGATATACACAGAGATGTGACTGAAACAAAAGAGTCCTGAAATGATCTGTTATTCTTACCAGATTGATCACCTTTGATCCCATTCTATTTCTTTAAAAAAGGATCGGGCTGTTGTGGGGCTCAGTGGCTCACATCAGTAATCCTAATACTATGGGAGGCCGAGGTGAGACGATCCTTTGGGATCAGGAGTTTAAGATGAGCCTGAGCAACAATAAGACTCTGACTCTATTAAAAATAGAAAATATCTGAGCATTGTGGCGGGCGCCAGTAATCCCAGCTACTTGGGAGGCTGAGGCAAGAGAATCACTTGAGCATAAGAGTTTGAGGTTGCTGTGAGCTGTGACACCACAACACTCTACCCAGGGTGACAGAGAATGACTCTGTCTGAAAAGAAAGGACCTGATTGTGACACTAAATGTCATGACTCGCAGTCTGCGTGACTGACCCAGCTCTTGCCTCGTGGGAGCAGCACTCTATGGGGAATGT